GGAGACGTGTGGAGACACTTTTTGAAATATTCCATCCAGTCCTTGTATTTCCAGTATTTCCACTAAAAACAGTCTTACCCACTCCACAAAACACTTATTATTACACCAGATTGTCCATGTGAACGTCTGTGTCCAGAGAATCATTTTAGAAGTAAAACCAACCTCACATTTGAAGGACTTAAGTCTGAGCAGCAGCAGTGAGTTGTACTTCCTGGTGGACTGATATCACCTGACACCTGTCTTACCTGACACCTGTCTTACCTGACACCTGTCTTACCTGTGTCTTACCTGGCACCTGTCTTACCTGGCACCTGTCTTACCTGGCACCTGTCTTACCTGGCCCCTGTCTTACCTGGCACCTGTCTTACCTGACACCTGTCTTACCTGGCACCTGTCTTACCTGGCACCTGGCTCTGTGGCTTAATAGTTTGTTTAGCTGCAGTTGCCAAAGCGACACATAGTTCACATGAAAAAGCCTGTTCCAGTTCTGTCCACGTTCACACCATCACAACGAACTAGAGGAAAGGAAAACTCTGCTGCTGCTGAGAAAATAGTCCCTCAACATGCAACAGTTCATGTGATACAAGGTTCGTTTTACTTCTAAAATGATTCTCCAGACGTCTACACTCTGGCTCACTAGGAAATGAGACCCTATGTAAAAAAATCTGAACTGTCCCTTTAAGATCCTCAGTGCGGATCTCATCCACCCCCGGAGCCACCGATGAGCTTTAACCACCTGACTCCCCCGAGTGTCCAAGACACACAGCCGGAGATCAGGTGACATGATGACAAAGTTGATCATCGACCTCTGGCTGAGTGCGTCGTGATGCCACGAGAACTGATGGACCTTGCGTTTGAACATGGTGTTTGTTATGGACAAACTGTGACTCGCACAGAAGTCAAACACAAAACACCGCTCGAGTTTCGATCAGGGAGGCCGTTCCTCCCAATCACCCCTCTCCAGGTGTCAGTGTCATCGCCCACATGGGCGTTGAAGTCTCCCAGTAGAACAACAGAGTCACCGGTCGTGGACTGTCTAGTTCCTCCCAGGGCCTGGCAGAAGGCCGGGTACTCGAGTACTCTGCACTGATGTTCGGCCCGTAGGCCGACACCACAGTGAGAGATCTGTCCTCGACCTGAAGGCGCAGGGACACGACCCTCTCGTTCACCGGGGTGAACTCCAACACACAGCGGCTGAGCTGTGGGGCAATGAGCCCACACCAGCCCGCCGCCGCCGCTCCCCCCCAGCCCGCCGCCGCCCCCCCCCACCCAGCTCGCCGCCGCTCCCCCCCCCCACACCAGCCCGCCGCCGCTCCCCCCCCCCCCCACCAGCCCGCCGCCGCTCCCCGCGGCCAACGCCAGAGAAGTAGAGAGTCCAGTTCCTCTCAAGGAGTTGAGTTCCAGAGCCCAAACTGTGTGTGGAGGTGAGGCCGACTGTATCTAGTCGTTAACGCTCAACCTCCCGCACAAGCTCAGGCTCCTCCCCCCAGCGAGGTGACGTGTCCTCAGAGCCTGTCGTCCGGTCGTCGAGGCTCCCGCCTTCGACTGCCACCCACATCTCTGTGGCTCCTCATGGATCCTCCTGCGGGTGGTGGGTCCACAGGAGGACGGCCCCACGTCGCTCCTTGGGCTGAGCCCTGTCGGGCCCCATGGGGAAGGTGCTCCAGGGTGGGGCTCCGGTAACGCCAATCCGGGCGACGTAACTGGCCTTGCTGTTGTGCTCATCATAAAGAGCTTCTGAACCGGTCTTAGTTTGACCCCAGGTCCTGTTTGCCTTGGGTGACCAGGGGCATGAAGCCCCCGACAACACAGTCCCAGGATCATTCAGACTCCTGCAGCACGACAACAAGAGACACGATGCAGCTTTAAGGAACTTCCACGTCTTATTTATTTAGTTGTTGTGTTTTGTTTCAGATGTGCTCCGTTTGACTCGAGGTTTGGTTCCTCTGGAGTTCATCACAGAAAAGGTGAGTCTGTCTAATGCTCCAAACACTCTGTTCCACCCTGTGATGTCATGAAGTGAACAGCTCCTTTTCCCTTTAGTGCAGTGCAGACTTCAGGACTGAAATGATCCAGATGATTCTAGTGAAGATGTGTGGAGTTTAAAAACATAGTGGAGCACTTCTTGTATCACCACATGATGACATCACAAGGTGGAACAGAGTGTTTTTTGTTTGAGAGAAGAACTCGTGTTAAATGTGCAGGTTTATGAATGAAACAAAACACGAGTCCAGGAAACAACAGCAGAACATCAGAACAGTGTGATATGGAGCCTTCTGATGTGACCTCTGCCTCTCGTGTCCAGGGGGAGGTTTCAGAGCAGGTTCTGAGTTCTCTGCTGAATCATCTCCAGCAGAACCAGACCCAGGAGGAGGCTGAGGGCTACTGGACCAGGAAGTCTGTGACCATCCACAGAGTGTTCTTCATCTTCTACCTGACCTCCGCCCTGAGCTTCCTGGGGGGGATCTTCTACATGTGGACCAGCCCCAGTATCAAATGAAACTGTAGGAGGGTTTAAAGGGGGTTGGGGGGGTCCGTCACCTGCTTGTTTCTATGGATACGTCATTGCTCTGCCTGGAATGTTCCGCACTGTGACATTAAACAGCTCTACTTTACATTTATTCAATTACAGGTGGTTTTAAAAGAGCTTAACTCTCCAGAGTGTGAAACTGAGAAAAATGATTTCAAAATTTCTGAATTTCTGTTTTGTGCCGACAAAAGTAGAATAAGCCAAACTCGAGTCGCTCTAATGAAGAAATATCTGTATATGAAAAATACTGAGCTCAAAACAGACCTTTACCTTATTTGTCACTTCCTGTTCTCTGAAACACAAAAGGGACACAGACAAACGCCACGACCGTGTCATGAATTGGCCGTCTACAACTTCCGGGTTCTTGTGAATCATCTAGTGTATTTGGATTCCTGACCTAGAGCTGGAGAGAAATGAAACTGACTGGAGGCACTAGGTGGCGCTGTCCTGGATACAAACTCTGTACATTTTAAAGACAAATGAGCTCATAAACACCAACACTGAGCTCTTCCTTCTTTTTATAGAACTTAGAACTTTAACTGCATAACAAATTTAACAAATAAAAAAAAGAACAATTTAACAAACTCTGAATTATACGGTCCAACTCACGACACTACGATAAAAAAGAAGATTCAACCCAAATCATCGTATTCAAAACGTTGCACAAACTGCAGACTGACTCTGATATAAGAAATGAAAAAGTGACATGACGAACCTGATCTGTGGCTGAGGTTCTGTACAGTCACGGTTCGTTCTGTAGTGAAAATATCGCACAATTTACTTTGGCGAATTCTGCAAATTCGCGCCGCTCATTTTGTCCTATTTGTGTCACTCAAAACGATCAAAACACGCGAATCACGCCGCCCAATTCACGTCATTTGTGCCTCAGAACTTTATTGGTGCTTCAACGCGCCTTTACATAGAGTTAACACGTAAATCACTGGCCTTGTTCGATCTGAGTCATAGATGTAGAAAAGAGTCAAACGGTCTGAACGTGGCGGTAAAAGTCTACGTGACTGAGCACAAACTCCACATGGCGGCGGCTCAAACGTCCACACGGCTCAAAATACATCAAATAAAAAACCTTCAGGCTTCACAGTCCCAAATAAAAGTAGAGACACAGATCCTCTGTGACCTTAAAAATGAGCAAAATATAAAACAAATCTCCCCAGAAGTGTCCTGGTAAATCTGTCCCTGGTGTTTTACTCACACGGCTCCTCCGGCCTGAGGGGAGCCGCGTTTTAAAAACTTTATCATCACAAAAAAGGTTTATTTATTATTATTATTATTATTATTATTATTACATTTATATTCTTTTTAAATAAAATGAATAAAAGCCATGAATTAGTTTTGCAAATAATATTTATATTTTTTCACATTGTTTATAGCTGTTTTATTCATGTCTTTAATTAAATTATTTATTCGTATTTATTGACCCTTTTTCTATCCTGAAATACTCTGAAATACTCTGAAATACTCTGAAATACTCTGTTACTCCTGAGTTTGTAACGGGCTCACATCTGCTTTTTCTGTTTCGTGTTGATCAGTGTATAAATCTTTTATCTGTGGTGTTGAATACACACAAATACTTTCACTTTAAAGATGATTGAAGTATAACTGAATACAAAGTTTATTTACTGAACGTGTTCAGGCCCTGAGCCAAAAAGACGGAGGATTTGAAAATCAAATATATTTATGAAGTAAATCACAAACACAAACTGTTTGTGCCTTTGGCCTTTGCACAAAAACTTATTTTAGGCTCATGATCCAAAGACAGAGAACAGGAAGTGACAAATAAGGTCGCAGGGACATTTTGGGCTCAGTATTTGTCTGGATATTTGTTCCTGTGATAAAGTTGAAGTTTCACATAAAAACAAAATGACACGAGTTGATTTGGACCAAACCTGATGTGACTCGTTCTGCCTTTGGAGGAGCCGTGCTCTCCAACACCACAGAAACGTTTAGTGTTTTCATTTAATTCATGTTATAAAACCATAAAAAGATGTTTCCTGTGTGATTAGAATGTTGTGCATGAAACCGAGGGGCTCCTCCCTGTTTTTAAAGTCTGTACACTTCAACAGATTCACTGGACTTATTTCCACTGTGAAGCTGCTGTTGTTAACCTCAGTTTGTTTTCTCTGGACTCTGTGCACCTGCACCTGCACCTGCACCTGCCACTGCACCTGCACGTGCACCTGCCCCTGCACCTGCACCTGCCACTGCACCTGCATGTGCACCTGCCCCTGCACCTGCCCCTGCACCTGCACCTGCACCCTGCACCTGCCCCTGCACCTGCACCTGCACCTGCCTTCAGACAAAGCATGATGAAAGAAAAAGTCTCATGTAAATGTAAACTGTAATAAAGGTCAGAAAACTGATTCTGTCTCCTCTGTGCATCTGGTTTAGTTCTGGTTTAGTCCTGGTTTAGTCCTGGTTTAGACCTGGTTTAGTCCTGGTTTAGTCCTGGTTTAGACCTGGTTTAGTCCTGGTTTAGTCCTGGTTTAGTCCTGGTTTAGTCCTGGTTTAGACCTGGTTTAGACCTGGTTTAGACCTGGTTTAGTCCTGGTTTAGTCCTGGTTTAGACCTGGTTTAGTCCTGGTTTAGTCCTGGTTTAGACCTGGTTTAGACCTGGTTTAGACCTGGTTTAGACCTGGTTTAGTCCTGGTTTAGACCTGGTTTAGACCTGGTTTAGACCTGGTTTAGACCTGGTTTAGTCCTGGTTTAGACCTGGTTTAGTCCTGGTTTAGACCTGGTTTAGTCCTGGTTTAGTCCTGGTTTAGACCTGGTTTAGTCCTGGTTTAGTCCTGGTTTAGACCTGGTTTAGTCCTGGTTTAGACCTGGTTTAGTCCTGGTTTAGACCTGGTTTAGTCCTGGTTTAGTCCTGGTTTAGACCTGGTTTAGTCCTGGTTTAGTCCTGGTTTAGTCCTGGTTTAGACCTGGTTTAGTCCTGGTTTAGACCTGGTTTAGACCTGGTTTAGTCCTGGTTTAGTCCTGGTTTAGACCTGGTTTAGACCTGGTTTAGTCCTGGTTTAGACCTGGTTTAGACCTGGTTTAGACCTGGTTTAGACCTCTGGTTTAGACCTGCCTGGTTTAGTCCTGGTTTAGACCTGGTTTAGGGTTTAGTCCTGGTTTAGACCCTGGTTTAGACCTGGTTTAGACCTGGTTTAGACCTGGTTTAGTCCTGGTTTAGACCTGGTTTAGACCTGGTTTAGACCTGGTTTAGACCTGGTTTAGACCTGGTTTAGACCTGGTTTAGTCCTGGTTTAGTTCTGGTTCATATCAGCTCTGTGGCTCCAGACTCTGGGCTGTTGCCACGGTGATAAAAGTTCAAAACAAAGACATTAAAGCTGCAAAAACCCACTTCCTGTTCTCTGATAATGACTCAAGATTTAATGGACCAGGACTAAACCAGGACTAAACCAGGACTAAACCAGGACTAAACCAGGTCTAAACCAGGACTAAACCAGGACTAAACCAGGACTAAACCAGGACTGTCCTGAAAATGAGACTTTTTAGGATCAATATGTGACAAAAATGAAGATCTAGTTTTGTTTTAGGATGAATTTATGTGTGATTTTTGACACCACCTCGGTTTTTAATTTTTAAATGTGCAAAGACAAAAGACAAAAGACAAAAGACAAAAGACAAAAGACAAACCTGAAAATCAAAGTTCTGTGAAACACAGAGAAAGTTCAACATCACAACACCAGAGGGCAGCAGTGCACTACTGCAAATGTCCACGTGTGAGGAAATAAAACCAAGACTGAACCAAGACTAAACCAGGACTAAACCAAGTCTAAACCAGGACTAAAACCAAGACTAAACCAGGACTAAACCAGGACTAAACCAGGACTAAAACCAAGACTAAACCAGGACTAAACCAAGACTGAACCAAGACTAAACCAGGACTAAACCAAGTCTAAACCAGGACTAAAACCAAGACTAAACCAGGACTAAACCAGGACTAAACCAGGTCTAAACCAGGACTAAACCAGGACTAAAACCAAGACTAAACCAGGACTAAACCAGGACTAAACCACTAAAACCAGGACTAAACCAGGACTAAACCAGGACTAAACCAGGACTAAAACCAGGACTAAACCAGGAAACCAGGACTAAACCAGGACTAAACCAGGACTAAACCAGGTCTAAACCAGGACTAAACCAGGTCAGGAAGAAACTGGATGGACACATGAATAATAAACTGTATATAAACAGTAATAAACATTGTTGAAAAATTAAAAACAGACCCAATCCCTGTGTCCCTCTGTGTCTCTGTGTCTCTGTGTCTGTGTGTCTCTGTGTCTCTGTGTCCCTGTGTGTCCCTCTGTCTGTCCCTCTGTGTCTCTGTGTCCCTCTGTGTCCCTGTGTCTCTGTGTCTCTGTGTCTCTGTGTCTCTGTGTCCCTGTGTCTCTGTGTCCCTGTGTGTCCCTCTGTGTCTGTGTCCCTCTGTGTGTCCCTGTGTCTCTGTGTCCCTGTGTCCTGTGTCTCTGTGTCCCTCTGTGTGTCCCTCTGTCTCTGTGTCCCTCTGTGTCCCTGTGTCTCTGTGTCTCTGTGTCTCTGTGTCCTCTGTGTCTCTGTGTCCCTCTGTGTCTCTGTGTCTCTGTGTCCCTGTGTCTCTCTGTGTCTCTGTGTCCCTCTGTGTCTCTCTGTGTCTCTGTCCCTGTGTCCCTGTGTGTCTCTGTGTCTCTGTGTGTCCCTGTGTCCCCCTGTGTCTCTGTGTCTCTGTGTCCCTGTGTCTCTGTGTCTCTGTGTCTCTGTGTGTCTCTGTGTCCCTGTGTCCCTCTGTGTCTCTGTCCCCGTCTGTAATATTGTCCTCACAGGAGTAAATCGTTGTTGTTGTTGTTGTTTTATTTAAATGAGGAGAGTTTTGGCCTCATTATGCGTCTTTATGTAAATGAGGGATTATCCTAACGAGCTCCTGGACGCGGGACGACGGGGACAGGGGACGACGGGGACAGTGGTTAAAG